TAGGCTGCTGCTTTTGCCGCAGGGCAGCCAATAGGCGCGCGAGCTGCCTCGCCTATGTCTGCATGCTGCCGCAAAGCGTTTTACATTGATTAAAAATTAAGGATAATTTTTGGCTTCAATATCTCGTGGAAAAGAGGTTTTCCCCATAGCGTAAGATATTACGCAGTACGAGAGATACTCTCGTAAGAGAACACTGTTAAGCAAAGTCTGTTCTTTGTCTTCTGCCAGTGTTTGGATTCAGACCATTGTGTTCTAGTGAAAGTTTGTATATTCGAGTCCAGTTGAACTAGCACAGAGGTGAAGTGTTCAAGTTCACTTCACCATTCAAAATACTGTGTGCAACATATCTGAACACTTTCACTATGCCAACTGAGAGGAAATTAGGAAAGTATTTGACTGTTTTCCATGAACTTTATGAACATACGGCTATTATTGTGTCATTGTGAAATTAATTGAACGTTTAAACACACACCCTGTGACTGTGTTCTGGATGTTAAAGGAATAGTTCACCCAAAAATTATGTCATCGTTTACTTAGCCACATGTTGTTCTAAGGCTTTATTCATTCTTCCATGGAACACAAAATATGACATACAATTACAATGAATGAGAACTGGAGATTTTAACCTTCAAAAAGGACAAAAAAGCAGCACAAAAGTATCATGAAAATACAATAACAGTAGTCCAGTAGTCCAATACAATAACAGTGTGTGCTATATTCCAATCTTCTGAAGCTATACAATAGCATTGTGTGATAAACAAAATTAAACAAAAAATTCCAGTCCAGTGAGCTGTTACCTAATATGACTGGATAAATGAGTCAGTGAGTTGAATTTGAGAACCGGATCAGACCGATTCATGAACAAATCATTCAAACCAGTTTTATCAACGAATTCATTGAAAAGAATCAACTAAAATTGAAAAAAATCTCATCAATTGTACATCACTACTTCTCACAAATTCTCATGAACATGCTAAGGAAAGCTATGAGGATGTCAATATTTTCAATTAATAATTTTTGTGTGAACTATTTCTTAAAGATTACGATTCATAAAATGTTTCTGTGTTCTGCAAGTAAAGGCTAAACTGTGTTATTTTATGCCCAGCAGGCTTCTTCTGCCCTGTAGTGCCAACTGCTCATGTCCCAGCAGCACCTTTAACCCAGTGTGTGGGGAAAACAACATTGAGTACATCTCACCCTGCCATGCTGGGTGCAAAAACTTCACCATGGATCCCAAGAACCCATACAGAGTCCAGGTAAATAAATAAATCTGACAAAACAGAACATATTTCATGTCATGAAATTGTCATCTCAAGCCAGAGTTCTAGCAGAGTCACTGCATTTATAGATCTATCCATTTAGACCTTTATTTAGCTCATTACTGAAGCTGGATAGCAGCTCATTGTGAGCCTCTGCTGTACTAGCGACACCGAGCAAATGACCAGTCATGGTCTGTTAGCGATCAATGGGTTGAATCCAATCAATCGCTAATTAGTAATACTTCCTGGAGGAAGTGCTTTGGGGACTTAGAACAACTTTAGAGTGTTAAAGCTTCTGTATAATTGCCCAGCAAGAGACTTACAGGAGCAGCTGATGATGAATTACTCTGTATAACACAGCACATATCATACCAAGAGGCAATTATAGTAAGAAATACACTTGGTTCTGGACTCCTATGCTGGTTCAATTCAGTCAAAACAGGAAATGGAGGACACTGTGTCATTAGAAGTCAATGGAGCACAAGAAAACATTATAAAATGAGTGTTAGTATTAGCAGCATCTAATGAAACACTTTTAGTTGTTGTACTCTTTAAATTTATAGTATCCTTATAGCAATAATGATGTTTGTAATGAAGATATGCACTCATGCAGGGGTTCTCAACTGGTTTTGCTAACACAAAATGTACCATAGAAATTGAAAATTATTAATTATATTATTGGTTTGTTATTTTATTTGACAGACCATGTTTATCTGTATGAACCTTTATTTATCAAAGTCTGGGTCAGATTTAATTTTACCTTGTGTAGTTTTGTTTTTCAAGGATATGGACATGTCACACTTAATGTGACAGGTGAATTTGTGTCATATTGTATAGTTTGATACAAGACCTTTTAAACAAAAAAGATACGGAAAGCTTTTTCTCTTCACATTTAAAATATGATAAGCCTATATATTTACATAGATATACACAAAATACTAAAAAACAGTACTTAATGTTACATGTATGGGTTACTGGACACATAACAGTTAGCTTAACATTTACAGCTCTCATGTTCATATTGACAAACCAAATCATAATAACGTCCACTATCTCTTTGCACACAGATTTTTAGTAACTGCCAGTGTATTCCTGCAATGGGCAACGCAAAGCCTGGCCCTTGTGCCAACACCTGCCCTCACTATCTCCTGCCTGTAATGCTCATCATATCTCTAGCCGGACTTATTGCCAGCCTAACACACAACCCTATCTACATGATGGTGCTGAGGTGAGAAACACAACATTGCATTCAGTGTGAGAACTTCAAATGTAAGAAATTGAGTTATTGTATTTTATCTCATTTCACTCATTCTGTCTTTAACTATAGGTCAGTTCCTTCAGAAGAGAAGTCGTTTGCCATAGGGGTTCAGTTTCTGCTTTTGAGGGTTCTTAGTAAGTAAATGACCAAAATACCCTTTTTTACTTTTATTTATTTATTCTTTGAAAGTGTTAAAAGTTGTCTTTTCATGAGATTTTTCCCGTAAGATCCTTAAACAAAATAATTGTTAAGAGAAAGTGGTCAGGGTAAATAACCATTTAAATTATTCTAACATGAGAACACTTTCCTGGGCAAAAACAACAACAATCTGTCTAAATTGTGCAAGTGCAATTGCAATACTGTAAGTACTATACGCCCCCTTGTGGCGATACAACAACATAGTTACTGTATATTCATGTATCTTATTACAACAACATCATCACAAACTATCTATGCTTATTTAGTATGTTAGTGCATATGCATATCAATATATATTTGTTTAAACGTGTAGTATAATGATTTCTTTTTTTCTCTTTCTCTTTGCTTAGCCTGGCTGCCAGCTCCGGCTTTGTTCGGGATGACCATAGACTCCACATGTATCTGGTGGAAAACGGCTTGTGGGAAAAAGCAAGGATGTGGCTACTATGACAACAATCTTCTTAGAAACAGGTACGGATATGTTCTCTCTTGTCCTAAATACATTATAAAGGTACATTTGTGTCAAAACTCCTGAAGGTAGGTTTTGAATTTAGTGAGCTTAAACACACATAGGCCTACTATACTTCACATATATTCAGCAACACAAGGCTAAAACTAGAAATTAAATTATGCTAATAAGTGTTATTAGACTGAATACTAGCACTGATGATGATCATGATGACTTGTTACAGGTATCTAGGGCTTCAGGTGGGCTATAAGACGTTAGGCATTACACTCCTGGCATTTATTGGCTGGAAAATGCACCGGACCAGAGAGTACAGCTTAGAGAAAAAGCCAGAGGGACCCCTGTGATGCCTCAACCCTGCTTGACCTATCGGATCTCACTTTTGAGAACCTTCTCAGTGAGTTGAGCCCCTGGACATTTCTTGTCAGAAACCCCTCCTTCCAACACCTGGCTGGAAATTTGATGAATTCAGTTTGGATATGTCTCAAGTTGTTACACAGAATAACTGCTTGAGTATTTATTTCCCCCTGCATGCAAGCAGGGTCCTAACTGGAAAGATTCAGGGACTTTCAACCTAGTTTGGTATTAATAAATAACAATAAAAAAATAAAAAAATTCATCATAATCTTAGCCGCAGTTTTTATCAGCAGATTATTTGAAGCTGGATTTATGACTATGGCACCTATGAGGAGGACACAAAACATAAGAGAAATGTCTATATATGGTCCTTAACTTTGGTTAATATGCAATTGAATCACGATTCGAAATGGTTGACTGGGAAAATACCCCCCCATATATCTCTTCTATTTGAAGACTATGTGAAGGATGTGGAATGCTCTGTCTCATCTATCGCCAGATGCACACAGATACACAAGTGTGTCAAATATCAAACTGTGTGCCAGTTGAGGTGTGTAGCTTCAAATAACGATAGTAGCCTGAGCAGATTTAAAATGTTACTTTCAAATGTGAAGACGTTTTAAAACTAGGCATCAAATGTTTGTAAAATATATTTTTATACCTGATATTGCTGTTTTATTATACCCTTTGTGCATACTGTTTTGCCACGGTTCTTAACACAAATGACAAAATGCTTTTCTTATCACTGCTTGGAGTAATGAATCGTGACTTTCTGATAATCTTTTTATTATGCAACATGTAACGTTTATTTACCAATGTATAAGTTATTTCAAATATAAAATTTGTTCACAAATTGTTGTTGTTGTTGTTGTTGTTTTTTCTATTCGGCTGATGTTTATGAAGACCATTTCTGCCACAAAAGAAAACAAATCATGGTTAAGTGATTATAATCATGTTTATGGCATAAAACGTTGAAATTATGACATAAATGAGAAACAAAATCATCTTTTTTATTTTTTTTAAATCTAATAATTATGATATATCTCAGTTCCAGTTTGTAAATGACTTTTTATCTCATAATGGCTTAATATCTCATAATTTCTACTTTTTGTCATAATTATGACTAGTTATCTCATTACTCTGACTTAATATCTCATAAATTCAACTCTTCATCTCGTAATTACAACTTTTTATGTCAACTGAGAGTTACTGATCACACAAGCAGGCTTTAGATTACCAGCTCTGGGATCACCCAAATGATCCAATCAAAAATCAAGCAGTGTCAAAGTATGTCAGTATTTTTTACATAAATCTATGCTATAATCAAAATAAGCTATAAGGAAAGACTCTGCTTACTGTGGGGGATACAGCATGACGTCATGTTATGTGGGTTGATACAGCATGACGTCACGCTATGTGGGTTTATATAGCATTACGTCGTGTGAGGGAGAGAGAGGTGGGGCCGCGCATGCGCAACAGCAATTAAGCCTGACAGCCGATCCAGTGCAGCATTCCAGTTTCCAAACGCACAGGAGCGCCGCTTTCTCCATCGCGCTGCCCCATCCAGACATTTACACCGGTGGGAACACGCTGTTAAAAAAACAAGCCCTCAAACATGTCTGTGGGAAATGACTTTGGAAACCCTTTAAGGAAATTCAAACTCGTCTTTCTTGGGGAGCAAAGCGGTGAGTGTCATATTGGAATTTCCTAGGGAAGTTTCAATAATACGCTTTATTATTGATTATTTACAGGGGTCTGCATAGACTGCAACATGAAAATACTGATGATGAAATTGTATTTATACATCAAATTCATAAGCCACTGGATCTAGTGTGGCATGTTATTTTGATCTGTTATGGGATTTACATATTTCATTTGATTAAAGTTTAATTTTCCGATAAATAATCACTTTGTTGATCCTTTCTGTGCTTTTTTGTATTTATTTCCTTCAGATATATATTGCTAAATTGGCAAATAGGTCACTTATCAAGATTTAAGTATCAGTTCAACTGATTATCAAGTTAAAAGACTTAAAGCTGTTTAATTCATTTTAGTTAGGCTATAATATTGATGTAATGCTTTTTTATATAAAAAAATATAAAATATTTTTTATAAATAGCTGGATTTCGTGGATTTAATCCAGTGATGGGCTATGTCTACTGCAGTCACATATCTAAAGTCTAGTGTCTTTATTATTATACATTTTCTTTTTTTTCTTCTTTTTTTTTTTTTTTTTACATATGCTATCAGGATATTATAAAAGTTTCATAAAGGCCCACCTGGATGCATTTGCAGATTTCAGTGTTGTGTAAAATGTAGCTGGTGTACTTAGAGAACAGAATGAATAATATAAATAAATAAATAAATAATCTGGATGTTGAGACACACCCAGTGTGTGCCATTGAGAGAACTTATGTAGCTGCAGCCTGCCGACTCTGCCTGGTATTGTTTCTCTATGATGACAGTGATGGCTAGCTCAGTCATTTTACCTATTGATATGGATGGATGAGTCTCAGCAAATGTAAGTTAATGTTTAGCAGGGCAACTCCGCTTTTATTTCCCTTGGCATTCTGCCCGCTGTCGTCATTAAACCTCCTACCAGATGAATTAAGCTTCCAGAAGATCTTATCTGTCCTCAGATCTGTGGGACTTAAGTCTGAGATTGTGCTGCGGAGAGTATGATTCACACTGTGAGAGTAAACAATGGATGCTGCCATGGTACAGAGGCACTGCTTCTCTCCAGGGACTCTGATCCCAGCTTTATTTTGTTGTCTCTATCTGAAGCCTTTCAGAGATGTTGTGAAGTAGCAAAGAGACCCTCCTCACAGCTTTTTTGTGGATTTCTCGGGGGATTGTTGATCCATGCTGAATGTGCATCAGCTTGTGGATCTTTTCCAGCCATTACTTCCATAAACTCTCAAGTTCAACTTGTTAGGCTGCTGCAGGAGAGATTTGCTTTAGAGGCCTTATACAGTACCGGTCAAAAGTTTTTGGAAACATTACTATTTTAAATGTTTTTAAAGAAGTCTCTTATGCTCATCAAGCCTACATTTATTTGATAAAATATATATATATATATATATATATATTAGGCAAAATATTGTGAAATAATATTGTAAAATAATATTGTGAAATATTATTACAATTTAAAATAATGGTTTTCTATTTTTATATACTTTAAAATATAATTTTTGTCTGTGATGCAAAACTGAATTTTCAGCATAATTACTCCAGTCTTCAGTGTCACATGATCCTTTAGAAATCATTTTAATATACTGATTTGATACTCAGTTATTATCGATGGAAACAGTTGTGCTGCTTCATATTTTTTTTGGAACCTGTGATATTTTTCAGGATTCATTGATGAAGAATTATTATATATATATATTTTTTCAATTTAACACCTTTCTGAATAAAAGTATTAATTTCTTTCAAAAAAAGAAAGAAAAAATGAAAGAAATTACTGAAAATTACCTCGTATTTCCTTCAAAATTCAAAATTCTTATATTTTAAAGTATATTAAAATGTAAACCCATTGTTTTAAATTGTAATAATATTTCACAAGATTCATTTTTTTTCTGTATTTTTGATTAAATAAATGCAGGCTTGATGAGCATAAGAGTCTTCTTGCAAAAACATTATAAATAGTAATGTTTCCAAACTTTTGACCAGTTTTCTATTTGAATGTATTTTAAAATGAAATGTATTCCTATGATGGCAAAGCTGAATGTTCAGCATCATTACTCACATGATCCTTCAGAAATCATTTTAATATACTGATTTGGTGCTTTGATGAAAGTTTAAAAGAACAGTATTTATTTTAAATAGAAATCTTTTTTAACAATATAAATGCCTTTACTGTCATATTTGATCTTTACTTCAGTGTCATGGCTGAATAAATATATTATTTTCTTTTTTTAAATTACCCCATTGCTTTTGAAATGGTAGTGTAATGTATTTGTTTATTTTATTTTTAAATTGTCTAATTCAGTTGAATTAATCTGTTGTAGATTTAGCAGAGTTTGGATTCACTGGCAAAAGCTCTATAAAACCTTTAGTCTGTCAATCATGACATGCTTAAACACGGTGCTTTTTTAACCAGGTGATGTTGCTGGCTTATTTTTCAGAGCCATCCGGTTATTGAAAGCCTGCAAGACAGCTGCAATTACTCTGCAGAAAGGCTTTAATGTGCTGCCTGTGACTTAAGGAAGAGATAAGCTGAGAGGATTGGTATTGACCAGCACAGACAGTGAAGTGTTTGTTATCCAGTATCACTGATAAGCACAGTAAACTACAGTCACAGTGCATCACTTGGCTGATCAGTCCAAATCAGCCATGTTGCACTGGTTAATAAATGATTATTATTATCAAATTATTGCAGTCTCTGATTACAACCTCTGCCGGTAAACACACTGTCAATATGCATGTTGTTGATGTTGAGGATGAACAGCAATGTTTCATTCCACTTGTTCTTTCTCTCCGCCTGTTATTTCCTTTAGAGACACTTAATGCAACCATTTGTAGAGCAATTTGAGACATGGTATTGATTTTTCTCTTCAACTCTTCCTTATGGCTCTTTTTGCCCTTTCTATGTACATCAGCACACATTTGAAACAAGATAAGAAAAGTCCTCATTAGAATGCTAATGCATAATTGAAACATACACCAAACATTGACTCTTTCCCTGCCAATTACGAGTTTGTATGGCTTTCAATGTTATCACTGTTATACGGTATTACGCATCTCCTGAACGAGTACAGTATCTCCAGATCAAAACGCAGGGAAAGAAGAAGCAGAAACGAGCAATCTCATGTAAGCAGATGCATATGAAAAATAATGTGATTATTATTATTAATAAACAGGATAAAAATCAAAATGGCCTAATGTCACTGAATGAAATGTTGATCCAGGACGATCTATAGGACTGTGAAGCTTTCAGGGTGTTGATGGACTCGATCTACTCCATCTATATTTTGATCATCGCTCTTAATCCGATCTGAATGTAGTCTTTGACAAAAATGTGATTCTCTCTGCTTTTTACTCTCAAAATGTTGCTTTTTTTTATGAAACTTTTTTTAAAGCAGAGGGCCTGTTCTTTCTGTTGATCTATTGTATGTTCAGATATTCATTCAACAAAATATTCTAGGGGCCATGAAACTTTTGTGAAAATGACCGAAATCTGGCGGTGGCTGGCAATTTGGCATTTGTTTTTGTTGTTGTTGTTGTTGTTGTTTTTTGGCCATACAATGAAAAAAAAATCCATATAATGAAAGTCAAGGGGTCCAAAACAGCATTAGACCCTGATGCTATTTTTGACCCCATTGACTTTTATTATATGGATTTTTGACTTTCCCATTGACTTTTATTATATGGTTTAATATATATATATATATATATATATATATTCTTCAAAATGTAATGAAAAGGTGATTAAAAACATTCTCATTTCATTCCTTCAGTTTCAAATCTGTATGGTGTTTTATTTTTCTGTGGAACACAAATTCACATAGTTCTTTTCCATTCAATGACATTTCATTGTTAGCATGAAGGTCAACATGGAGAAAGGAACCATACAAGTAGTCCATATTACTTGTGCAATATATTCCAAGTCTTCTGATAGCTTTGGGTCAGGAACAAAGCATACATTTAAGCACTATTCACTGATATTCTTCACCTCCACTGCAGCTTTTGAATCAAATGGCTCCTAAGATTCAAAACTAGAACATATTTGCATAACACTGTGCGGTAGACCAATTCCTCTGGGTCTGTTCCCAGTGCACACAAACACTGCGCGTTGAATGCACAGTTCACCTGTCTGTCAAATGTGTGCAAACATATACATTGCTTTGAATGTCAAGTCTAATGTGTTCAGGCTCAAGACTGCCAATGTCAGCATAGTTCTTAATAACCCCCCACATTGCAAATGTATAGTAATTACCAGCAATCAGTGCTTGAAATATAACCTACACAAGTACTATCTGCATTTTAAGAGGCCAGTTTGCATGGACAGCATTTTGTTAAGCAGGTGTGGGCGATTACATGATTGAGATATTAAAAATGAAGGGGAAGTCAAATGTGGAGAGTGGATAGATGCAATATGGAAACGGAGATAGTGGAGAAGTATAGGGACTGCATGCGAATGAAGAAAATCCAAAGTGTGGAAAGGAGAACGCTGGCGCTCGTATATCTCATTTAAATGGCTCCAGATTGGGGCAGGCTTTGCGAGAAGAAGCTGTCCAAGGTGCTGAATACCCCCAAACCCCCTCCCCCTCCCCCTCCCCCTCCATCCTAACCCCTCCCCAGGACACATGATGCTGGTCTGACTTTAGGTTCCTGGTTGGGATTCGTAGAAAAAGTAGGGATCTGAAAAATGTTTCCAGTCAGTATAAGGAAGATAGTGGAGCGTTATCATGCTGCAGCACACACCACACCACTTCTGGAACCTTTCATGTCTCATTTCTCAATGTCCTTTGACCTGGTTCCAGACATATTTAAGCTGGGCAAATGCAGCTCGTTTGACTGGCTCCATGTTGGCTCTGTTTCCTCACTTGCAGGACATTGAATGTAATTGCAGTCATGAATCTTGGCTGATCAGAGGCCATCATTTATTAATGGCAAGGACTGGGCTGAGGGAAGCTGGAAAAGCAGAGAAAAAAAAGCCTAGTGACTAGTCACCATGTTCCAG